GATATTTGTGTAATGATAATATAGTATACGATTTACATGAATACATATTTGTCCAACAAGGAAAATGTATTCTTATAATAGATAGTAGTATGAAATCAAGCCTTCAAGAATATGATATTTATGTTATGAGAATATGATATTCTTGAAGGCTTGATAATATTTGTGGTATAAGAATATGATATTTTTTATTCCTGTAAATCGTATACTATATTATCATTACACAAATATCATATTCTTCGTTGGAAAGACGTCCTCCGAACAGTAGGTGGGAGGACCATATCCGATCCGCCTTGACTGGTTGCTGCCCTAGTACACACCCCACACTCTCTCTCTCACATTTATAAGTAGGGATGGCAATGGGTCGGGTTGGGGCGGGTTTTGTCAAACCCAAACCCATGGGTTTATCTGCCAAAAAAACCCGGGGTAAAACCCGTTGGGTTTGAAAAACTCAAACCCAACCCAACCCTCTGGGTATCCGCGGTTTCATGGGTACCCGTGGGTTTTTGTGGTAAAAAATTTACAATAACAAGTTTCTTTCAAAATAAAAGTTTAACATCAATTTTCTCATACAAATTAATCATACAAAAAAACACCAATCTAGAGCATACAATCAAACCGCAAATGATCAATACAAATTGTTCAAAATTAAAGATAAACATCTATAAACAAAAGATTAATTGAAAGCTTCTTCCTCGTCAACTAAGTTTTTTCACTCTCCACTTCATAATATCAACTTCATTCTAAATAATTAGAAAGAAGAAATTATACATGTCTCCACAAACATAAAGAATATTAATTGTTTAAGGAAAATATATTATTTAGAATATTAAATATACCGGGAAAGTAATTATATGTGTGTGGGCGGGTACCCGTGGGTCGAGTTTAGCTAAACTCAAACCCAACCCGACCCGGTGAATAGTGTAGCGGGTTTAAACTCGAACCTGGCCCAAAACCCGTCAACACGGATTTTACCCGCGTTCACCAGGTTGGGTCGGGTGGGTACCCGTGGGTTCGGGTTTTGTTGCCATCCTATTTATAAGCACCATGACTTATGTGGTACTAATTATGACCCGAGAGTACAAACTTATACATAAAACTGTATTTTGTTGGCCTAATTACGCCATTGAAATTTGAATGGGATGACCTGCGATATAGTTTGTAAATACTTGTTAACGTATGTGTTTGAGACACGTTACCCTCGTAAGACTCTCCCAAATCCTCTCTCGCCAGGCGTCGATCTGCACACACGAACAAGGAGGGGGCGCCTGGGCCCGTTAATCCTCCGACGCCCAAGTCAGTTTCTAGGAAGAGAGAAGTGTCTCAAAGCTAGAGTTTCGTGAGTGAGAGTCCAACCTGTGTAAATGCTACCAACTGCCCCTATTTATACTTACCAGAGTTCGAGGTTGATCCTCTCTACCTCCCTGCCTTCATTCAATGCTTTGTCTCTTTCTGGCCAGACATCCCAACCACCTTGTCAGACTCCTGGCACGTGACAGGCGCCTGCAGGCACTGGACCACATGACAGTCTGGCCTCCTTTGGCTTCTAGTGACTTGTCTTCATGTGGCCTCCCTTTTACTTGGGCCTTGCCCCCCACTTGGGCTGCTTGGGAGCCCGAGTTGCCGCTCATTGGGCTTTGCTCATAATACCCCCAACAATTGCCCCCCCAGCTAGGTGCTCATAGCTCTGCTGCTGAGCGCCTAGCTGACTCGGTGGTTGCTTTGTCCCTCCTTAGGCACCCGGTTTCCTGAGCGCCTCGGCCTCCTTGTTTTGTCTTTTTTGCCTTCTTTCTCTTTCCCCTTTTTTATAAGGCGCCTTGATCCCTGCGCGCCCTTATTCGGCTTCTTTTCGGGCGCCAGATTTAAGGCGCCTCAATCCCTTATGCCCCCCTCATGGGCGGGCGTTTGATATTGGCCCCCACGTTTTCCTTGTTTGAATTTTGGCAAATTTTTTTTTTTTTTTAATGTGGCCAAAATTCCAACAAAAAGGAAAAGGTGGGGGGGGAGCTCAAAAGCCCGCCCTTGATGATGACACGTGGCACGCTACGCGCGTCTATCCTTCTGCTCCTCCTTTCCTTTAAATACCCCCCTCCCCATCAGTCCTTGTCACTTTCCACATTCTCGCCTCTCTCTAAGATTGTTGCTCTGACTTCTCTCTAGATTCTCTCCTGACATCTCTCTAGATTCTTCTGCTTTCGTCAGCCTTTCCTTCCATTCGTCCGAGAATGTCTTCACAAGCAGACAAAGTTGTCGGCCAGGGCGCCTCCACTGCAGGTGAAGAGGCTAGACCAGGCGCCTCGAACGCTGGCGGCGAGGCAAGGCGCCCAAGTCGAAGCGGTAAGGGATTTCCTTGCTCTATTAGTTGCTTTCCTTATTTTTACTTTAGCTCTCTAGGGTAGGGCGTCACCTACTCCGCGGCCGTATTGCGCCTGGGTCGTTTATTGGTTTAGAGAGGGCGCCTGCGTCGACGTCCGCGGGTCCATCAAGCGCCTCCACTCCGGGCTTCATGCCCGCCGATGGGTCCTACAAGATATCTGTGTGGGAGAATTCGTTTCCACCCGATCACCTCCCGACGGAGACGGAATCGTTGTCTTTCGATGTAGCGGGCCCACAGCACACCTCTACCGTCACCTTGGCTCGTGTTCATGAGCTAGTGACCAGCCTCCAACTGCCCCGTGACTGGTGGTATGCGCCTCCTTCCCCTATCTCACGAGTGGGCGCCTGCGGGCCTAAGTGGATAGGGGTGTATCAAGAATACTTCCGCTTCGGGCTGCGGTTCCCCCTTGATCACATAATGGAGGGTATTATGACGACCTGTGGCTGCCCATTGGGGCGCCTGTCTCTCTCGGTGATCATGGTGGTCATCCTATTCAAGCTGCGCTGCCGCGAACATAACGTGGAGCCTACCTTCAACCTTTTTCGATACTTTTTCAAGATGGCGCCTCTGGACAACTGCTTGTCGCTTCAAAAGAGGAAGGGGCGCCCTTATCACTTTGTGGAGAAGTGCCCGAAGTTGGGGTGCAGCTGGTTTAACGGGTTCTTCTTCATGAAGGCATATCGAGACTCGTTTTTCGAGAGTGGGGGCGCCTTCCTGAGAGAGTGGAAGCTGGGGAGTGTTGAAGAGTTTAATACAGACGTGGAGTTGTCCCCCGCAGAAAAGGCAGGCGCCCCGCTGATTTACGAGACGCGCGTAAACTTGCGCAAGACCGAGAATCGCCCTCCTATCTTGGAGGCGTATTATAATGATGGTCCGTAGGCGCCCATATGTTGCGTCAATGTCTTTATTGCCTCGTTCTGTTGTTAATAAATGTTGCTTTTGTGCTAACTTACTTAGCGATGTACAGGGTCAGACTTCACGAGCATTGCGAAGCTCATGAAGAGCCGCCTTGCTGCCATGGCTGGAGGAGCGCCCCCACCACCAAGGCCCAAGGCGCCTGTTGCGGCTGCTTCGGAACCGCAAGCGCCTACTGCTGCCCCCCAAGAAGAAGAAGTAGAGGGCGGTGAAGGGGGGTACCACGAAGACCGCCAGCGTGGCGTCTTCGGAACCGGAGGCGGAGGAGGAAGCGCCCCACGTTGAGGCGCCCGCTACGGAGCCCACGGAGCAGGAGGAGAACTCCGGGGAAGAGGAACCCGAGCCCCTGATTAGACGGGGGAAGCGGGCTGGCTCCCCTTTGGGCAATGTCAGCAAGAAGGCTGACAAGGGGAAGGAGAAGATGGGTGCCGGCGCCCGAAGCGGGGGAGGGGGCGCCTTCGAATACCATCTGACTAAAGAGGGGCAGTGGGTAGGCCCCGATGGGCGCCCCCCATATTCCAGCCCACACGCGCCGACGTTGGGCGCATCGAGCTGCCATGTTCCCCATTGGTGGCTGTCGACAGAGGCTGTGCCATGGGCATGGCAATTACGGCTGCCAAGATGTGGCAAGTGCCGTCGAAGGTGAATGGGGATCACCTCTTTGCTGAACTGGCGAAAGTGGGCGCCAAGGTACGTTCCCCGTTGTTTGTGTTCTTGATTTTTGGGTTTCTTTTAACTTTGTATAAGCACTAACTCTTTGTATTTTGTGTGTGTAGATTCTTCTTTTTGCTGAGAGAGGCGCCCGGCGCCTTTCTGAAACGAAAAGAGAGGCGCTCGAAGCCTCTTCTTCTGCCTCACAGTTGCAACGTGACCTTGATAACGCGACGGAGCGTCGCGAGCAACTTGTGAAGGAATGCGACGAGGCGCAAATGAATGCGGCCTTGCAAGTGTCGCAGCTTCAGGGCGCCCTCGATGAGGAGCGCAATAAGTCAGCCACCCTTCAGGCTGAGAAGGAGGCGCTGGCACAGGAGGCGGGCGGCCAGGCTAGTGAGATTGACATCCTCAAAGAGGAGAAGAAGAGGTGGCAGGACGCCTACAAGGAATGCAAGAAGGATTTGAAGGAGGCGCGGAAGAAGATCACCAACTTGCGCCACTCTTTGGATACCTTCGAGGAGTCCGAGACTGGGAGGAACATGAGCGCCAGTGCTATTTTGTCTGGCCTGCAGATCTTTCACGGCAAACTGGTGAGGGATCACCCTGTTCTTACTTGGGATTTTACCGAAATCGCCGAGTATGTGATTGGGGAGTTGGAGACTCCACCGGAAGCGGGGAATGCGCCCCAACCATCCAATGCGGAGGAGCCTCCACATGACTCTGTTCCTGTCTCTCCTTCTCCTAAAGCGCCTAGTGCTGGTGACGCCAACTCAGGCGCTGAGTGAGTGCAAATGGGCGCCCCATTTTCCTCTGTATTTTTTTTTTGTATTTGTTTGCGTATAATAAAAATGTTCTTTTTGACATTGCGACCATGCTTGCTGGACTTATTTACTTATCGTGTTATCATTGTGTTTGGGCGCGAGTAGTGTGGGCGCTTTGTGGTTTTGGGCGCAAATTTCCTTTATCACTGATTGCCATGTCTCGAGGGCGCAAATGTGGGCGCATTAATTGTTCTGACGTTGGGCGCAGAGTTGTGGGCGCTTTGGCTTTGGCGGGCGCAAAATTGGGCGCTTTACTTACTCACGTACCAATTGACAACACACGATCGGGCGCAAGGTTAGGGCGCTTTGTACTACACAAAATTTCCGGGCGCGAAATTAGGGCGCTTTTACTGCTTACGAAAGAGGAATTGAAAACATTAAGTCTCAATCGGGCGCTGCAACACGGGGCGCTTTTGGACACAACACGGCGCTACTTTTACGAGCGCTTTTGGACACAACACGGCGCCTTACACAATTGTCTCTAACACTAACAATGCTCTTGACTACGACCACCTTTTGCCTTCTTGGCCCTCATCGAACGGAGGCGCCCTCCCGGTAAACTCGCAGGTTCTGCGCATTCCAAGTTCGTTTTACGCCTTCGCCGCTGGTATGCTCTAGCTTGAACGAACTTGGTCCCACCACCTCTCGAACTCGATAGGCCCTTTCCATTTCGGTGCTAACTTCCCTTCACGGGCGTCCGGGCGGAAGTCACGCTTGAGAACGAGGGCGACCTCGGTGATTCCATGCGCCCGCATTTTCTTGTTGTAGTACCGAGCCACTTGGCGCTTCATCTTTTCCAGCCGGATGGCCGCTACTTCCCTCACCTCATCTGTCATGTCCAGTTCATCGATTCTTGCTTCGCCATTGTTGGTTGGGTTATACTGGCCAACGCGGTAGCTTGGGGAGTTGACTTCCACCGGGATGACCGCCTCACTTCCGTAAGTTAGGGCGAAGGGTGTTTCCCCAGTGGCTGTTTTGTAGGTTGTGCGGTGCGCCCACAGCACGCTTGGTAGTTCCTCCACCCACTTGCCCTTGGCGCCTGCTAGTCGAGTGTGCAACCCGTGGAGAATACTCTTGTTGGCCGCTTCCGCTTGACCGTTTGCCTGAGGGTATGCCACTGAAGAGAACCGCAGGACGACCCCGTTGTCATCGGAAAACTCCACAAATTTCTTGCAATCGAACTGCTTTCCATGGTCTGCGACAATGGACTCAGGTAGGCCGAATCGGGTGAATATGTTTTTCTTGGTGAACTTTCGCACCTGCGCTTCTGTAACAGTGGCCAAAGGTTCAGCTTCAATCCATTTGGAAAAGTAGTCGCCTGCCACGATCAAGTATTTCATTTGCCCGGGCGCCTTGGGAAAAGGGCCTAACAGGTCCATGCCCCATTGGGCGAAAGGCCAGGCTCCCACATTGCCCTGCATGGGCGCCGCCGGGACATGAATGTCATTTGCATGAATTTGGCACTGGTGGCAGGCGCCCACGTGTGCCCTGGTGTCCCGTCTCATCGTTGGCCAGTAATAACCTTGTCGCAGCAGCGTTTTTTCCAAACTGCGCGCCCCTGCGTGCATTCCGCACGTCCCGCTGTGCACCTCTTCGATTGCTCCTCTGCTTTCCTCCTCATTCAGACACCTCAAATATGCTCCCGAATGAGACCTCTTGTATAACGTTCCTTCGATTATGGAGCACCGGGCCGCCTTTCGACAGAGGCGCCAGGCTTCCTTTGGGTCATCCGGCACCGTTCCTTGGGTCAAGAATAATATGATTGGTGCCATCCACCCGGAGTCGGTGCCTTCGTCCCCCAAGGTTGCGACCAAATATTGGCGGGGTACTTCCGCAGTGACAATGACTTTCCGATATTCTGCAAACTCTACTGCGGTGGCCAATTTGGATAGGGCATCTGCATGCGCATTTTCCTCACGCGGGATGTGAATGAAGGAGATTTCCCCAAACCAGGCTCCCAGCTCTCTGATCCTTCGCACGTACATTTCTAGCGCTTCCTCCTTTACTTCGAATGCTCCGTTAAGTTGGTTGGCAACGAGGGCCGAGTCGGACTTGACCTGGATTTTGTGGGCGCCCAGCTCTTTACCCATGGTCATGCCGGCAATCACCGCCTCATACTCTGCAGCATTGTTTGTTTTCAAGGTGGCGAATCGCAGCACTACCTCGTGCATCGCACCTCCCGGGCTTATCATCACAATTCCTGCTCCGGCGCCCGTACGGCTGGCCGCTCCATCGACTTGGACTTGCCAGCAATCATCTTTCCCCTTCTCTGCCTCAGCTATTCCTTCCGCGACGAAGTCGGCCAGGACTTGGGCCTTGATGGCTGGTCGAGGCGCATACCTGACATCGAACTCGCTTAACTGGACTGCCCACTTGACGAGGCGCCCGGCCACGTCCATTGATCCCAACGTGGATTTCAGAGGGAGGTTGGTAAGGACTATGACGGTGTGGGCTTGGAAGTAGGGTCTCAACTTGGTTGCGGCCATCACAACCGCCAGCGCGGCCTTCTCAATGGGGGCGTATCGCTTTTCGTGGGGAACCATGGTGCGACTGACATAGTACACCGGTCTGTCTTCTCCAGAGTGGGCTTCTCTTGCGACGAGCACGACACTTACCGACACTTCCGACACAGCAATGTAAAGGTATAGTGGTTCTCCCGCCTTAGGCGCCGTCATCACGGTCGGGGCGCTTAAGAGTTGCTTCAACTCTTCGAATGCTCCGTCACACTCAGTGGTCCATTGGAAACGGGCCGCCTTCTTAAGAGTTCGAAAGAAGGGAGCGGCCTTGTCTGCGGACCGGGGGATGAAGCGCCCCAACGCTGCCAGCCTGCCCGCCAGGCCTTGCACTTCTTTGGGCGTCTTCGGGGGGGTCTGCTTAAGAATAGCATCCACCTGTTTCGGGTTGGCCTCTATACCTCTTTTAGTGATCATGAATCCCAGAAATTTTCCCGCTTCGGCGCCGAACACACATTTGAGGGGGTTTAGTCGGAGCCTATGCGCCCTCATGGCCTGGAATGTCTCACGCAAGTCTTCAATGTGGTCTTCCCGTTTCCGACTCTTGACTATGAGGTCATCCACATAAGCTTCCACATTCTGGCCAATTTGCTGCCGGAAGACGTTGTTAACCATCCTTTGGTATGTGGCGCCCGCGTTCTTGAGCCCGAAGGCCATGACCCGATAGCAGAAGTTTCCAAAAGGCGTCATGAAAGCTGTTTTGGGCCGGTCTTCCTCTGCCATGGGGATTTGATGGTATCCTGAAAACATGTCCACGAAGCTCAGCATCTCGTGGTATGCCGTGGAGTCCACCAGCAAGTCTATCCGGGGCATTGGGTAGGCGTCCGTTGGGCACGCCTTGTTGAGGCTTGTGTAATCCACGCACATCCTCTAGTCGCCCGACGGCTTGGGCACAAATACCACATTTGACAGCCAGGTAACATAAGAAGTTTCTTCCACCAAATTAGCGCCCATAAGCTTGTCCACCTCGACCCTAAGGGCTGCCTCTTTTTCCGGCGATAAGTTCCTGCGCTTTTGTTGCACAGGGCGCCTCCCTTCCTCAACCGCTAACCTGTGCACTGCTGTTTCAGGTTTGACGCCCGGCATTTCCATTGCACTCCACGCGAAAAGCTCTGCGAACTATTTTAGAAGCGTGATGAGTCGTTCCATGAGCGCCAGTGCTATTTTGTCTGGCCTGCAGATCTTTCACGGCAAACTGGTGAGGGATCACCCTGATATTACTTGGGATTTTATCGAAATCGCCGAGTATGTGATTGGGGAGTTGGAGACTCCACCGGAAGCGGGGAATGCGCCCCAACCATCCAATGCGGAGGAGCCTCCACATGACTCTGTTCCTGTCTCTCCTTCTCCTAAAGCGCCTAGTGCTGGTGACGCCAACTCAGGCGCTGAGTGAGTGCAAATGGGCGCCCCATTTTCCTCTGTATTTTTTTTTTTGTGTTTGTTTGCGTATAATAAAAATGTTCTTTTTGACATTGCGACCATGCTTGCTGGACTTATTTACTTATCGTGTTATCATTGTGTTTGGGCGCGAGTAGTGTGGGCGCTTTGTGGTTTTGGGCGCAAATTTCCTTTATCACTGATTGCCATGTCTCGAGGGCGCAAATGTGGGCGCATTAATTGTTCTGACGTTGGGCGCAGAGTTGTGGGCGCTTTGGCTTTGGCGGGCGCAAAATTGGGCGCTTTACTTACTCACGTACCAATTGACAACACACGATCGGGTGCAAGGTTAGAGCGCTTTGTACTACACAAAATTTCCGGGCGCGAAATTAGGGCGCTTTTACTGCTTACGAAAGAGGAATTGAAAACATTAAGTCTCAATCGGGCGCTGCAACACGGGGCGCTTTTGGACACAACACGGCGCTACTTTTACGAGCGCTTTTGGACACAACACGGCGCCTTACACAATTGTCTCTAACACTAACAATGCTCTTGACTACGGCCACCTTTTGCCTTCTTGGCCCTCATCGAACGGAGGCGCCCTCCCGGTAAACTCGCAGGTTCTGCGCATTCCAAGTTCGTTTTACGCCTTCGCCGCTGGTATGCTCTAGCTTGAACGTACTTGGTCCCACCACCTCTCGAACTCGATAGGCCCTTTCCATTTCGGTGCTAACTTCCCTTCACGGGCGTCCGGGCGGAAGTCACGCTTGAGAACGAGGGCGCCCTCGGTGATTCCATGCGCCCGCATTTTCTTGTTGTAGTACCGAGCCACTTGGCGCTTCATCTTTTCCAGCCGGATGGCCGCTACTTCCCTCACCTCATCTGTCATGTCCAGTTCATCGATTCTTGCTTCGCCATTGCTGGTTGGGTTATACTGGCCAACGCGGTAGCTTGGGGAGTTGACTTCCACCGGGATGACCGCCTCACTTCCGTAAGTTAGGGCGAAGGGTGTTTCCCCAGTGGCTGTTTTGTAGGTTGTGCGGTGCGCCCACAGCACGCTTGGTAGTTCCTCCACCCACTTGCCCTTGGCGCCTGCTAGTCGAGTGTGCAACCCGTGGAGAATACTCTTGTTGGCCGCTTCCGCTTGACCGTTTGCCTGAGGGTATGCCACTGAAGAGAACCGCAGGACGACCCCGTTGTTCTCGCAAAACTCCACAAATTTCTTGCAATCGAACTGCTTTCCATGGTCTGCGACAATGGACTCAGGTAGGCCGAACCGGGTGAATATGTTTTTCTTGGTGAACTTTCGCACCTGCGCTTCTGTAACAGTGGCCAAAGGTTCAGCTTCAATCCATTTGGAAAAGTAGTCGACTGCCACGATCAAGTATTTCATTTGCCCGGGCGCCTTGGGAAAAGGGCCTAACAGGTCCATGCCCCATTGGGCGAAAGGCCAGGCTCCCACATTACCCTGCATGGGCGCCGCCGGGACATGAATGTCATTTGCATGAATTTGGCACTGGTGGCAGGCGCCCACGTGTGCCCTGGTGTCCCGTCTCATCGTTGGCCAGTAATAACCTTGTCGCAGCAGCGTTTTTTCCAAACTGCGCGCCCCTGCGTGCATTCCGCACGTCCCGCTGTGCACCTCTTCGATTGCTCCTCTGCTTTCCTCCTCATTCAGACACCTCAAATATGCTCCCGAATGAGACCTCTTGTATAACGTTCCTTCGATTATGGAGCACCGGGCCGCCTTTCGACAGAGGCGCCAGGCTTCCTTTGGGTCATCCGGCACCGTTCCTTGGGTCAAGAATAATATGATTGGTGCCATCCACCCGGAGTCGGTGCCTTCGTCCCCCAAGGTTGCGACCAAATATTGGCGGGGTACTTCCGCAGTGACAATGACTTTCCGATATTCTGCAAACTCTACTGCGGTGGCCAATTTGGATAGGGCATCTGCATGCGCATTTTCCTCACGCGGGATGTGAATGAAGGAGATTTCCCCAAACCAGGCTCCCAGCTCTCTGATCCTTCGCACGTACATTTCTAGCGCTTCCTCCTTTACTTCGAATGCTCCGTTAAGTTGGTTGGCAACGAGGGCCGAGTCGGACTTGACCTGGATTTTGTGGGCGCCCAGCTCTTTACCCATGGTCATGCCGGCAATCACCGCCTCATACTCTGCAGCATTGTTTGTTTTCAAGGTGGCGAATCGCAGCACTACCTCGTGCATCGCACCTCCCGGGCTTATCATCACAATTCCTGCTCCGGCGCCCGTACGGCTGGCCGCTCCATCGACTTGGACTTGCCAGCAATCATCTTTCCCCTTCTCTGCCTCAGCTATTCCTTCCGCGACGAAGTCGGCCAGGACTTGGGCCTTGATGGCTGGTCGAGGCGCATACCTGACATCGAACTCGCTTAACTGGACTGCCCACTTGACGAGGCGCCCGGCCACGTCCATTGATCCCAACGTGGATTTCAGAGGGAGGTTGGTAAGGACTATGACGGTGTGGGCTTGGAAGTAGGGTCTCAACTTGGTTGCGGCCATCACAACCGCCAGCGCGGCCTTCTCAATGGGGGCGTATCGCTTTTCGTGGGGAACCATGGTGCGACTGACATAGTACACCGGTCTGTCTTCTCCAGAGTGGGCTTCTCTTGCGACGAGCACGACACTTACCGACACTTCCGACACAGCAATGTAAAGGTATAGTGGTTCTCCCGCCTTAGGCGCCGTCATCACCGTCGGGGCGCTTAAGAGTTGCTTCAACTCTTCGAATGCTCCGTCACACTCAGTGGTCCATTGGAAACGGGCCGCCTTCTTAAGAGTTCGAAAGAAGGTAGCGGCCTTGTCTGCGGACCGGGGGATGAAGCGCCCCAACGCTGCCAGCCTGCCCGCCAGGCCTTGCACTTCTTTGGGTGTCTTCGGGGGGGGGGGGGGGGGGGGGGGGGTCTGCTTAAGAATAGCATCCACCTGTTTCGGGTTGGCCACTATACCTCTTTTAGTGATCATGAATCCCAGAAATTTTCCCGCTTCGGCGCCGAACACACATTTGAGGGGGTTTAGTCGGAGCCTATGCGCCCTCATGGCCTGGAATGTCTCACGCAAGTCTTCAATGTGGTCTTCCCGTTTCCGACTCTTGACTATGAGGTCATCCACATAAGCTTCCACATTCTGGCCAATTTGCTGCCGGAAGACGTTGTTAACCATCCTTTGGTATGTGGCGCCCGCGTTCTTGAGCCCGAAGGCCATGACCCGATAGCAGAAGTTTCCAAAAGGCGTCATGAAAGCTGTTTTGGGCCGGTCTTCCTCTGCCATGGGGATTTGATGGTATCCTGAAAACATGTCCACGAAGCTCAGCATCTCGTGGTATGCCGTGGAGTCCACCAGCAAGTCTATCCGGGGCATTGGGTAGGCGTCCGTTGGGCACGCCTTGTTGAGGCTTGTGTAATCCACGCACATCCTCTAGTCGCCCGACGGCTTGGGCACAAATACCACATTTGACAGCCAGGTAACATAAGAAGTTTCTTCCACCAAATTAGCGCCCATAAGCTTGTCCACCTCGACCCTAAGGGCTGCCTCTTTTTCCGGCGATAAGTTCCTGCGCTTTTGTTGCACAGGGCGCCTCCCTTCCTCAACCGCTAACCTGTGCACTGCTGTTTCAGGTTTGACGCCCGGCATTTCCATTGCACTCCACGCGAAAAGCTCTGCGAACTATTTTAGAAGCGTGATGAGTCGTTCCATAATCTCGGCAGGCGCCTCTGCCGAGATCCTAACGCACCTTTCTGGGCGCCCTTCCTCCAGCGCTATCAAAAGGTCCTCATCAGCCGCCTCGGCTCGAGGCGCCTCGTCTTCCCCTACCTCCATCACATTGACTCTTGCCTCGACGTGTCTTCGCTTGCGCCCTATCTCCTTCGCGTAACGCGGGGCGCCTCGTCCTCGGGCCACGCCCACCCCTTGCGGGGCGATGAACTTCAAGGTCTGATGATAAGTGGAGGCCACCCCATTAAACAAAGCCAGGAGCGGCCTTCCAAGGATCGCATTGTACGGCGAAGGGCAGTCTACTATCCCAAAGTCTATGGCGCGCGTCACCCTTTGCTCCCCATCTCCCAACGTGACGGGCAGGCATACCCGCCCTATCACTCTGGCGGGCGCCCCGGAAAAGCCTACTAGTACCGACTCCGATGGTCTGATCATCCCTGGTGATAGTTGCATGCGAACCACCGTATCCTTGAACAGCACATCCATGGAGCTTCCCGTATCGACCAACATTCTCCTTACCCTGCATCCGGCTACTACCCCTTGTATCTCCAAGGCGTCCATGGACGGGAGCATACACGCCTCCTCCGGCGCCTTGTTGAAGCTAATGTCAATAGACTCCTGCACATCCGCCGACGCTGCCCTCAACCGGCGCTTCGCTTCTATCTTCTCCCTCAAATCCATTGTCCCTGAAATGGCTTCGATCGTCAAGCGCACGCGGTCAAGCGCCTTTTCTTGGTCCAAGTCATAGGGTGGTGGTGGCAGCTTCTCTCCTGCTCTCACCACTCCAGCCACACATGCCCTATGCACTCTTTCCTCGGGTTTTCTGATGAAGTCATTGAGCATTCCTCTGTCCGCAAGACCCTGCAGCTCTGTCTTAAGTTGGTAGCAATCAGCCGTGTAGTGCCCAATTTCACGGTGGAAATCGCAGTATCGGTCCAAGTTCCGCTCGTTGGGTTGCCCCCGCATTGGGCCTGGCCACCTGATGTGGTATCCCTTCTCCTTGACGTGCTGGAGCACGTTCTTCAGGGTGTCATTGTACTCGGCGAAGGGCCCAGCCCCTCTAGGCGCCTGGAGCCCCATATCGTTCCTCCTTGGCGGGGGCTGGCTTGCGGGCGCATAGCCCGAACCACTCGTTGGGTACTGTCTCCTCGGCACCTCGGCCTCCTCCACTCGTGCCTTCCTCCGATCTGCCCTCCTGGCTGCTAATGTCTCCTCCAGCATAATTACCTTTTGCACTCTATGATCCAGGTCCTCTGTGGACACCACATCTCTCTTCGCAAGCGCCCTGCATAGCTCCTCACTAGAGGTGCACTCATTCAGACACACCCCCAGCACCGACGGCTGGGCGTCCTTTACTGCTAAGGCCACGGATAGCCACCTCTCGTAAAATTCCCGTAACGCCTCTCCCTCTTTCTGCTTGACCTTAAACAGGGCGCCTATGGTCAAGGAGCGCCTTTTTCTGCTGGCAAATTTCGCCAAGAACATCGCTGCGAACTGTTCGAAGCAGTCGATGCGCCCTTCACCGATCTGATGATACCAATCGAGAACCACGCCCGAAAAGGTGGACGGAAATACCTTGCACAGGGTGGCGTCTGTGCTGTTATAGAGTTGCATTTTGGTGAAATATCCGTTAAGGTGGTCCTCGGGGTCTCCAGTTCCGTCATAGGCTGGGAGTGGGGGAATGTTGGTTCCGGCTGGCTCCGACAATATGCAACGCGCCAGAGGCTGCCTCACAGGGCAGTGGCGTGAAAGGCGCCCCAATATTCCTCCATTCCATCCACTAGCGTCAGGCGCCCCGTGATCACGTGGGCGCCATGGACCGGGACGCCTCGGGCACCCCGATTCACTCTCCGTCTCTTCCATCCTTTCTCTTTTTTTTGTCTGGCTGGGCGTCATCCCTTCATTCCTCCTTAAGGCGTCCATTTCACGCCGCAGCGCCTCGATCGCCTCGTCTTGATCCTCAATGATCCGGAACAATTCTTTTTTTGTGACTGAGGCGCCCTCGGATCCCCGCAACACGCCCTCACTTCCTTCACCTTCTTCCTCCTAGGGCGTCTGCCCTCTCATTCGCTCCGATTGTTCTTCCGTAATTTCTTCCCTTTCTTCATTCATCGGCGCCTCTTCACTCATGACTCCTGGCTATATTCCCCTATCTGGCGTGCCAATTGTTTGAGACACGTTACCCTCGTAAGACTCTCCCAAATCCTCTCTCGCCAGGCGTCGATCTGCACACACGAACAAGGAGGGGGCGCCTGGGCCCGTTAATCCTCCGACGCCCAAGTCAGTTTCTAGGAAGAGAGAAGTGTCTCAAAGCTAGAGTTTCGTGAGTGAGAGTCCAACCTGTGTAAATGCTACCAACTGCCCCTATTTATACTTACCAGAGTTCGAGGTTGATCCTCTCTACCTCCCTGCCTTCATTCAATGCTTTGTCTCTTTCTGGCCAGACATCCCAACCACCTTGTCAGACTCCTGGCACGTGACAGGCGCCCGCAGGCACTGGACCACATGACAATCTGGCCTCCTTTGGCTTCTAGTGACTTGTCTTCATGTGGCCTCCCTTTTACTTGGGCCTTGCCCCCCACTTGGGCTGCTTGGGAGCCCAAGTTGCCGCTCATTGGGCTTTGCTCATAATACCCCCAACAGTATGTATTAAGGAATCAAACAATTTACCATCCTTACACCTCAAGTCACAAGGATGTTGAATCATGTACGAATCCAACTCACAAAAGAAGATGGTTCAAGATTATTTGAAGCCAAGATTTATAGAAGTTTAATTGGATGTTTGTTGTGTCTTTCCGCAACCAGATAAGACATTATGTTTGCCTCTGTTTTGTTAGTCAAATTCATGCAAGCTCCAGCTCAGATTCACTACAAGACTGCCAAAAGATTGTTGAGGTACATCAAGGGTACCATTGATCATGGATTGATGTTTAAAAGTGGAGATCTTCAGAGGACATGAAAAGTACCTCTGGTTTCACTTTCACACTAGGATCAGTTGTCTTTTGCTGGAGCTCAAAGAAGCAAAGCGTTGTAGCTCAGTCAACTGCAGAAGCTGAGTATATTGTTGGTTCTGAAGCAGTGAATCATGCAGTTTGGTTAAGAAAAATTGTGGAAGATTTGAGTTTCAAACAAATGCAACCAACTGTCATTAATTGTGACAATCAATCTGCAGTTGCAATGGCCAAGAACCCTGTGTTCTATGGCAGAACTAAGCACATCAAGATCAAGTACCATGTTCTTAGGAAAGCTGAAGCTGAAGGTTTGGTTTCACTAGTTCACTACTCAACTCAAGTTCAGTTTGCCGACATTTTTACCAAGTCACTGCCCAAGACCATATTTGAAGAACTAAAAAAAATTATTGGAATGGTCAGTGACATTGGCAAGGAGGAGTGTTGCGGTTCAAACTTAGATGGGACAAGCTCAAGCTATCTGTGTCATGCTGCTGAAGAAATGAAGCCTGCAGAATCCAGAAAGGTACTTAAACACACACAGGTTCAGAGAAGATGCGAAATGGGCACCCACGCATTTGCACTTTAGATGCAGGCATGCAGCTTCCTGAGAAAGGATCGATGTTCCAGCATGCATATCAGGGGCTCATATTCTATATGACATTTCCATAGACAATGAAAACAAAAAAGCATTTTGCATTCCGTACCATATCTTTCACCACTCACCAGTGAAACCATTTTGACAGCTTTCTGATATTACAGGAACCAAACATCAACCAGCATAATACCATGATGATGTATGACTCACAAGGGAAGATTCCCGAGCTAGAGGGGTATGACCATTCACCCGTCCATGGAGATGATTCAGGTAGGAGAGTCGATTGATCAAGTGATACGCCCCTGGGGGGTGTATGTTTATCAAAGTCACGCAGCTAACGACTCAATCGAAGAATCGATTGAGCTCGAATCAAGAACGAAGCGTTCTTAATACGAACTTGGATAAAACGGAACCAAAAGGACAAATCCACACCTGGGGATAGCTCGATTGGTATAAAAGGGTAGTTGCTCGACCACGATTGAAGTGACTATTCAATCGATACACAAGCTCAGCAAGTTTGGAATCCACCAAACCCAAAACAAGTCGCAACTTGCACAAACCAAACGATTTCGATTTCTATTCAACAAAGTCTTAGTTTTACAACGAAAGTAGAAAGGTATTTAAAGGCAAATAAACCTAATACAAACCTAATAGAAGTAGGAAACAATTAAGGTAAAAATCTACTCTAAAAAGGACTCAAAATTCGGATTTAAAACTCTCTTTCTTCAAGTGCAAGTAAGCTGCCAGCAAACAGTCCAAAAGCAGCTTTCGTACTAACTTCGCGCCTTTCGTTCAAGGCTTTCCGGAACTTCAATCTTTCATCCAATTCCTTCCCTTGGTATATAAACATACCTAGTTTTATGTTGTAGAAGCCTTTGGTCTCGAATCAGATCCATGCTCCTTGAACTGAGCTCCAAAGTAGGCTTCACAAAACAGTTTCCAGACTTAACCATTTTCTGGCAGTTTTCCAGTTTTGAGGTAGCAACTTTGAGGCTTTGGAAAACAACCTTAATGACTTTTTCTTGAGCAACCAAGCATACCAATGTGTAAATAATCACTCCATGTTCAACACAAGTCATTAAACTTGAATTTCCATTGAGCCAATTAAGAGAAACGTCCCTCCAAAGTTGGCTGCTTGAACACGGAAAATGACTTGGACAATTTTCAGCTTTTTCTTTGCAATTCGACTTGGCCTCTTTGACGATTAATCCTGGATGGAATTCGATCGATTCCAGGATCGTATCATCAAGACTACCGCAAGAGCATATATAGTTCTTTTATCTGTACAAGGAAGATATGAAAACCCTTTCCCGCTCGGTAAGAAGATAGCCTACATTAGCACACAATTATGATCCTTTGCTAGCTTGCTAACTGAAAGCAAATTGCAATTGAAATAAGGTATATTTAGCACATTCTCCAGCCTCAATTTATCTGAATAGAATCGAGAATGAAGTTTTCATTCTGTACATGCCAGATCATGAATTAGTAACTGCATCCAATCTCAAACAAAATCCCAATTGTTTCGAACTTGCTCTTTTTTTTTGGAATGGAATATTTATATTCATATGGGCTTATGTCTGAAAACTGTGTCTTTTAAGAGCTAAGCAAATGCAGACTCCCTATGCAACACACAAGACAAGTTCCAATGCACTTATTGATGGGAATTGGACCGCAACACTCGGGATTTCCAAATTTACCAGAATCTGGAATCTTCAGATTATTACTCTTTCTTTGCTGGTTCCCAGGACTGGTACCTAGTCCAGTTTTTCTGCCCTGGGTTGAGTGCATGTCCTTTAGAGTGGTAAATCTGATCTTCACCTTCTCCAGAGAGATTCTCCCTGTGAGCCACGCCATATCTCTTTGGCCTCAACATCAAAAGCTGGAAGAACAAGAAATACTTATTACAAGCAAAAATCAAACCAGCTATTCCTTATACTTAGATAAGATGACCGATTCATACCTCATCTCCAGTGTGATCAGTTATAAAATGAAGCCAACCATGCCATTCTGGTGGCACCTGAGAAGCATTATATCGACCTTTCTCTGCATATTCAACCCAACGGTGCCTCCCTACAAGATTACACCATCACTTAAGTTGTGAGAAATTCACACGAGGCACAAATATGAGCAGTTCTAAGACTTGCACAATGACAACATTCAGAATTCCTGAGCAATAGCGTATGCAGATAGACAAGGAACAATAAGTACAGACCATATTGGGTATCTCCAAGCTTCTCATAGTACTTGTTGCCGAATTTGTCGACCCCAACCACTGTTGCCCCTATATTATGGATTTTGGTTTGCCTAACAACAAATTTCCAGTATAGACATGCATATGAGTTTGCATATCAACAGAAGTACAGGTGCTGAGAAATAAGGGGTCAATCAACCCACAACATGACCTTGTTCATAGAGAAACATAACAAAATTCAAGGGGGCAAAATTTAACTTACAGAAGGTTCCCATCCAAAATACACTTCCTGAAACGTATACAACAATAGCATCGTGAGTAAGAGTGCAAACAAGCAAGTTGAATAAGCATGTACCTTAAACAATCATTGAATACAGGTGTCAAGAAATGAAATCCAAATATCCTGGGAAGAAAAAAGAAAGATATGGGAGTGGAGTGAGACATACAAGTAGCCTTCTCTCCTCAGCTCGCGCAAGAAGCCACCAACGCCTTTCTCTTTGATAGCATTCACCACACCCTTCACCACTGAAGCCATTTCCAATACTGACCTCCTCCTTTTATGTGTATCTCTCTAGTCTTCACTTCCTGAGCTCTCTTTACAACCTCTGTACCCAGCAACATAAAACAAACAAGTAGAAATCATCATTACTCAAATCCGAATCAACTCATCGATTGATCAAGTGGGAACAAAACAATCTCAACCAAATGCCCAAAGGGACTGCTATGTTAATGCAGTCAAATCAATCTAAAAGCTCCATCCAACGTGAACAAGAATTTTTCACGCTTCAATCTTCGCTCAGCTCTTACCTGTCCTCAAATGTTAAATCGATTGAACCCCATATAAGATATCACAGAAAAACAGATAACCGACCACCAGAAGACATGATGTACCCAGAATTGGCATTAATCGATTCTTGTGTGTATAACAGCCACAGCTACAACCGAGCAGCACTTGCACCCTTCCAGTTCCAGAACAATCTCAGCCCTAACGAATTTTCTAAGTAGGTTTTAAATCCAAACCCCACACCGCTTCACCTCAGTATCATTACGCACAGACTCACAGCGCTATTTCTTTCAAACACGAAAAGATATTGACTAGCTCCCGAACCAAAAATGAGAGCTAGAAAATCCCAAATTCCCATCTCTCACAGAACGAAACACCTCTCGCCTCCGCGCAAACATGAATCAGAACATGACTTATTGTAAAGGCCATCTCGCCACCTCTAATCCAAAGTTTCAGCAGTATAATTATGTTTAGGGATGGAGGAGACGTCGATTCTCCTTCATTGATGGAGGCACAGAAATCAGATGAAAAGATCTTATATCCGACGATAAAATACAGAAGCGATCCGAGGAAATCAGCAGATTATGAAAGAGAAGAGAAATAAAAATAGTACCCAGAAATTGCGCCCAGAAACCAATCGATCTACGGAAGGAGAAGATGAAGAATCGCCCGGGCCGAAAGACTCAGCTTGTACAGGTTACACTTAACATGGAAGGATGGAACAGAGAACCAGGAGAGACGAGACGATACGATACGATAAATTAAAGATACGCAATAAGTCCAAAGTATGGCGATATAACGATAAGTCTATGTCTATCGCGATATGAAGATAAGTTTAAAGTATCGCGAGATGACAATACGAAACGGAAAACCCACGAGTGAAACGTCGAAACATGAAACATTTCAGATCCTCAAAATCGAAACCGAAACGCAATAAATTGACGAGCAATTGAAATTGCCGATATATCGCGATATCCAACGATATTTCGGCGGTATATTGACCCTCGCGATATATTGGTCGGCTTCGAGGAAGGAACGACCGGGAAATGAACGGGAGTAGCCAAAAACTATGTCCTTTCGCAGAGAACAGATGATTAATGATTAGAGAAGGTACTGTAACATATGGATGAGCTATATTTATAAGAAAAGAAGGAAGAGAAATCAATCGCCCGAAAGTGATAAAGAAGCTAGTCGGAGACAGAAGGACAAGGGGTGAAAATTGGGAGGAGACGACGAATGAGATCACTTAAACCCGACCCGTGCCTTTGGGCATTTGGACAAAGATACTTACTGGTTCAGTTCCGATTCACTACCAGCAATTGCTCCGACGCTCCCCTCCGGTCGTCGCCGCTGGGCGATCTTCTTAGTCACTAGGCCCATTGGAAAATGTCCACCCGTTTTCTCCTACATTCTCTACGATCCTCTCGGTTAAGCTCTGGTCTAAGTCGCATCAACGGCTCACTCTCCTCAATACTCAACAAAAATGCTTTCTGAAAGTGATGAACGTTTGTCGGGGAATTGGATATGAGAAGAAGGGTGAGGTTTCGGAATGTGGTGGTCGGTATTTGATGAACTGTTACTCACAGTTCAAGGGTTTTGCTTAACTCACAAGCGAGAGAACTGCGTTGGTGTAGATAAACGTTAACTTTATTATTCGATACAGGACTAATGTCAAAGTTACATATTTATAGACTTAGAAAAGTCTAATACGTAACCTAACCATACCCGAATTCCTACTCCCATTCGACTACCCTATCCCAAACGCATAAGGAAAATTACAACGAAAAAAGGAAAAACACCCATGCCCAAAATCCAAAAACACCAAAAGCCCAAACCGAAAATACTCTCATCAATCCCCCCCCCCCCCCCCAAATCAACTTTGTCGCCAAGGTTGACCCTCGCCATCTTCTTCCTCGAACAAGCACATCACCCTAGCATTACTCTACATGTGCCCGATGGTGAATCGCTTATCGCAGTTGAAGTAGAGACCCTGAGCCCTACGCAGCTGATGTTCCTCCAGGTCTCAGCTCAACCGCTTCCCTCCAGGTGGCCCTCGCGGCGGTCCTTCTCCTCCTTGAAATCTCGAGCTTGTAGTTCTCAGCGCGTATGCTCCTCCTCCTGTCCCTGTAACACCCTGGTCCGGCCGGACACTACTTTTAGCGAAAATACCCTTGGTAAATCGTGAAACAAAATAATAAGTGAAAATACTTAGAAAAACAACGAAAACATTTCATAAATAACTTTAATAAATACTTAAAACAATTATCATTATGTGAACTCGAAGCCCTGACACTTGGGCAAACTCAAGCTTTAAAAGTCTAAACCTGATCTCCATTCTATACTCATAATCATAAAGTATAATAACTAATTAATCTCAAATGTTGCTGATGACTGATAACTTTGACGAGACATCCTTCGTGATGCTCAGACTGTCCTCCTCCAGCTGGCTCCCTCGAACTGTTTCTCTCGAACTCGCTCCTCTCTAACTGCTTCTCTAATTAGCTGTTATCGTGCTGGTTCTCGCTCATTCCTTTACTAAGCCCTGGTGAGTGAGATGGGGTCAATCTACGCACTTACGCTTTAAAACCTCTAATACTCGAGTACTTTACTTAAACACTTAACTTTAACTGGTGGAAGTTGTTCTTACTTACACCCTTTAAACTTTACTTCTCAAGTACGTGGGAGTTAGAGTTACTCACCACACTACAAGGAAACTACCCTTCTGTAACGAAAATTTCTGTGATGATCCAAAATTCGTCACATAAAACACACTTTATATGACAAAATTTACTGATCGTCACGGAAAGTTCCATTTTTTTCTCATCCTCTACAAAAATTATCAGTGACGGGAAGAATCGTTTCTTGTGACTAGTTCAAGCGTCACCTATAGTTATAGTTTTCGGTGACGCAGTTTTGCGTTGCATATATTCAATATATATATATATTATCTGGTGAGGTTGTAAGTGGTCACATTAAATATGACCCCTACCTCGACTTAGATGGCGCCACTACTTGCCTTACTTACTTAACCATGGCTACCCTCACAATGGGGTGCCCCTTAACCTGATTTTTTACTACTGCGTTGCGTATGGGCGTCCGGTTGCATACCTAAAACTTGGCAATGAAAACTGTGTTACGTATCGCCGTCTAGTTCCATGCCCAATCAACTAATCTGTTACGTATCGTCGTTCAGTAGTGACCTAAAATACACGATCAACTGTTGCATTACGTATCGCCGTCCCGCGGTGATTTGATAAACTACCGCGTCCAGTAGTGATCCCTCATGAACGTGGCTAGCTAAGCGAGGTTACTTATCTAGTTCTTACTTATTACTTTCTCTTTCTCTCTTCACCTTAACTTATTTAAGGGTGAAGTACTACTAAAACTTATTCTTACCAATCACAACCTCTTAATAAAAAGACAGAAACTAAAATGCTTAAAAAGTAAATAATGAAAACTCAAGTAAGCACATCAAACAATATCTCCAACTAGAACATGCATTATCAAGCATAAATATAATCAAGCATTGACATATACTTCACGTAAAACACTTTTTTAAAACTCGTAGGGCGTACAATTTACCACTTCACACTCATCTAATTAATCAGTCGATAAACCTCAATCATAGTTAATGGATTGCCCCTTTAGCCTCCTCTTATTAGATCACCATTCCATTTTCATTCCCACCCAACCAAAACACTCATCCATTCAATAAAGTCGCCAGCATACCAACCATGAGCACTCCGAACAAGAATCCCTCTATCCTTGATCCACGTTATATATAATAACCCATACATGTGCGTTTGGCTATATATGACGATCACCTCCACCACTTTGAAATGCCATAATTAAATTTCCAAATCCCAATTTACCTTGTCCGTTGCACCTTGGTTGTAGTCCTATCTTCAGCAGGAGATAGGGTCAGTAACCAAGTGGTTACTGACATGTCAGTAATAAATAAGGACCGTAGATCTAGGAGGCAGACAATCGTGTGGTTGGGTCGGACGCTGAGTGAGAAAATATATTTTTGTCCGTTTATACATTACATTTTTTATTTTATTTTATTTCATTTCGTATTTAATGGCTGCATTTTCAAAAGATGAAAGAGAAATCATCACTTCTCTGCAACTCTCATTTATCTTTCTATTTTCCTTCTCTCTTCCTTTTTTCTCTCCCAATCAGTGGCGGACCCAGAAAACCTTCTAAGGGTGTTCAAGAATATAACACAAATTTAATCTATATTATGCACATGTAATCTTTTTCATCACAAATTGAATCATATGTGTTCTCATATTTTGAAAATTTTCAAAATTATATTCATTGCTTATGTTATAATTCGTAATGCAGTCAAAAATTGTGATTCAACATAGAAGCATTTTGGTGACCTAGAGCGTAGATTTTGACTAAACTTGTAAATGAAAAGAGTGACCTAGAAGTGTAAAAACGTAAGGTTTTAAGTTTTAAATCGTGATTTTAACTACATTGATTACTCATGTCTTTCAATAAATACAATTTATAACTCACTTAAAAATGATATCTCATCTTATGACAATTGAGATGAAATAGAGTTGTTAAGAGAGTTTTTCCAGAATATTTTTTTAACAAAATGAATTGAATTTGAATAAAATAATAGATTTGTAATTAATTCACGTTCTCAAAATAATAGACATTAGTTTGTAGTTAAAAAGAAAGACTCAATTATAAATTTTGAGGGTTGTCAAATGACATTGATTTCAATTCTAACATCACCACTATAAATATTTACACTACTTTTTAACCCCAAATCTAGAGCTAAGGCTTGTCAAGTGAATAACCTTGGCATAACATGGGTCCGCTCTCTTTCTCTCTGCCTTCTCTCTTCCTTTTTCTCTCTCAATCTCCTTTTGAGATCTAAATCTGTTCCATTCTCTTCTTCTTTATTTTTTTTTCTCTAGGACAAATAAAATTTGCAACCACTTTTTTTCATTGCATTTCTTCTCTTCATCATCTCGTTGGCCTCAATTTCGATCTTTCTCATTTTTTCGGCATTTTGGTGTTCTTGATTGCGGAAGAGGAAATGAGAGGTGACAGAAGACGATTTTTTTTCTCTACCTCCTTCTGTTTTGTTTTTTCTTTTAGGTAATATATATTGATATTATAACTCTATACCATATGGTATTCGGTGGTAACGAAATATATATTGATATTACCACACTATACCATATGGTACTGGGTGATAACGAAATATATATATTGATATTACCACACTATACCATATGGTATTGAGTGGAACGAAATATATATTGATATTACCACACTATACCATATGGTATTGGGTGGTAACGTAATATATATTGATGTGACAAATTTTTTCATACCATATGGTATGGTCTTATTTAATACCAGTCAATACTATATGGTATAGACTGGTAATAACAAGCAAATTTTTTATGTCAAAAAAATATCAAAGTGGATATCATTTTGAAGAGCACAATTAATCTGATCTAATTGTGCAAAAAAATTAAATTCCGACTTAAAACGAGTGAGAAATCATCCGTTAAAGATTAAGAGAAGGAAAATTAAAGATTTTTCGAGGAGAGAGGAGGCGCTGATGTGGTCCGGTCAAAAGTCAGCATTAGTAATAATTAGGAGTAGGTGCAATTTTACCTTTCTGTCCTTTCGCATTTAATTTAAATAAAAAAGGGACTGACACGTGGGGACAAGGGAGGGGGTTACTGATGGGTTACTGACCCATCAGTTACTGACCTGATCTGGTCCCCTATCTTCATTGCCTATGTCAAGGACACCTCGCTTCTTTTCCTTTGTAGCTTGTTGGGTTCTAGATCGCTGGACATGAGTTTAATTTCTACAACCTCCCGCCGCGTTGGCCGGTGCCAGTCTTATCATCGTGCTCCGGTCCAGCTAATCCCATGTCCATGAACTTACATCTCATGGCGGTATGACAAAGCTCATCATCGTCAGGAGACAGCCATATCTCCCACCAGGATCAGTTTCGCCTTAATTTCTACAACCTCCCACCGCGTTGGCCGGTGCCAATCTCATCATCGTGCTCTGGTCCGGCTAATCCCATGTCCATGAACTTATATCTCATGGCGGTATGACATAGCTCATCATCGTCAGGAGACAACCATATCTGGCCACTTGATTGCTCTCATTGGCGAGTTCAGATGTCAATGTTCAACTTCTTGATAGAAACCCAATTTTTGGGATTTATTATAATTATCACAATTAGGATTTATTTAGATATGGTTAGTAGTCTTTTGGTCACATTAGGATAGTCTATTAGATTTTTCTACTCTTTCGCTATAAATATGTAATTGGTCCTTCATTCATAATTAATAAGAGAATATGAAGAAAAACCTTCCAAACCCTAATCTTCCTATCCTCTCAATTCTCGTTCTCAATCTCTCTAAAGGCCTAGGCCGATTCTCTACCTTTCTCTTCTCAAATCCATAATTTTGTTCTTAATCCCTAATTCTCAATCTCACAACCAGATCCGATAGAATTCTAATACCAGGTTTCTATCATTTGATATCAGAATCGTTCCGAGAGCGAGTTCGTCACAACTCTCAACCAGGGATGACTTCTATCGACTAGAGCCAAACTGAGCTCGTCAAAGTTCCATGATCCATAGTTTGTTCGACTGTGGAAGCTGCTGCAATAGTTCTTTGACAAACTGGACGAAGAGATGTCCAAGTGGGCTGCGAACGATGTTGTGGCTGCAACGAAGCGTTGTGGAGAGGCAGCAAAGACGGTGCCGCCAATGGAGGACGAACTACGCAAAAAACTACAACAAAGTATCGATTACTGGAGTCCGGAAGCGATGCGACGCAGGAGGGAAGGCAAGGATGCCAAGAACGAAGGCCTAATAAAGAAGCAGCCGCCGACCATGGACAAAGATGCGACAGACGAGACAACCGGTGAGGCTGAGGTGACCGACGTTGATGAGTTAAAGAAGAAGGAGATCATGTGACTCCTGCCGCTGCCATCACAATCATCATCACCACCACCGAACAACCAACCATCAATGGAAAGGCATGGACTTCGGCTAAGATGATGGCGCCATCATCGCCAACCGTCGTTGCCGCCCCGAGCACAGAGTCACCACCACCGCTAACCATTGCTGCCACTTCACACGCGATCAAAAAGTCGTCTGTGGTTGCAAAGGATGGAGTGGCTACTGTGGTCCAAGAAAGTGGTCTTGTCATTACTACTACTGTTCCTGACGAGGAGAGAGCGGTCTCTATCAAAGAAGAATCTGTGACTGATGGATTGGAGAGAAGGACGAGGTCAAGTCACGATGGAAATTGGCAATTTCGGAGGAAGCCGAGGTCTGACAAGGATATATCGAAGGCCACCGCGTCGGCTACTCCCACCGCATCGATCTCGACAGCTCCAGGGGCAGTGAGGGGAGAAAAGTTGTAGAAGTTGGAGGCAAAGAAGGAACCACAGGGGCTCAAAATGAAAAGGGAAGCGGCGGCGAGAGTGACCGGTGTCAACTGGGAACTCGAAAGTTGGGCGACGACAGACGAGAAAACGAGGTCGAGGACGAAGGCGAGCTGGGCTTCCCGCCGCCTGCTGGCTTGTTCGTCGCCGGAGATGAGATCTACAGCCACTACGGCAATGATGGAGGAGACGCCAAAGAGAATACGACCCAAGGCGGAGGAGACCGACAATGCCTCTTCTACCTCATGTGAACTGACAACCTCCAGGGCAGTGGAGCCGAAGAGGATTTTCGCTGAATCGAGCTCTTCTTGCAGGCATCAGGTAGATAGTTGGCCACCCGAGGAGGAGTCGCCGGGGTCGGAGGGTGAGGAGTTGGCGGTAGATGAAAGGAAGGAAGGGCAACGGCGTCTCCGATGCTTGATGAGCAGCTCACCGGTGAAAGAAGAGAAGTTGGACAGCCGATGGACGACGGCTTCGACTACAATGAAGATTGTCGAGAGGATAAGACCGTTGGCGGAGGCGAGCAGGTCTTCTGACCTCCTGCTGTTCAGCTCGTCGCCGAAGGAGCTGCCAGGAAGGAGCGAGAAGGAGAAGGGCGGCGACAGTACCACTCTTTCACGAGAGATGCTGCATCTTTTCTCCTCCCACGAAGCACATTTCCAGCATAGGGTAATGGACCAAAGGGTTGCAAGAGCAAGTGTTGATGGGACAATTGTAGTGGGTCAGGTGTTATGGATGGGTCATCCAAGCCTCGGTCAGCAGTATGAGGTGGATGCGTAGAACTTTGGGGAGGCTGGACTTAAATGGATTTTAACGGATCAAATGGGCGATGGAATGGCTCATATGGGGGTAGCATTGGCAACACCAACAATGTCGCCCCATCTTTTCCAATTTGATGGAGTTTGGACCCATAAATTAAATTGGGTCTTAGGGAAGACAAATGGGGTACAAGGAAAATGGGTAGGTAATGATGAGCAGTTTCATTACTGGAGGAAGATTGTTGGCAAGGAGTTCGCCACTAATGGTGTTATAAGTGGGAAGCTTAAAAAGTTGAGTTGGGTTTGGCATAAGTAGTACATCTTATGGAAGCTACGTGGATTATGAATCATGATATAGTACTTGAATATGCTTGGAAGAAGAGGAAGCGCAAAAAATAGAGCCAACGCGCGGATTATGCAAGAAAAGTGGAGAAAGTGTCAAATCGGTCAACCTTGAGGGAAATGTTGGTCTCAAGGGTGAGGGGATGCTAGAAACCCAATTTTTGGGAATATTAAGAGAATATTAAGAAAAGCCTTCCAAACCCTAATCTCCCTATCCTCTCAGTTCTCGTTCTCAATCCCTCTACAGGTCTAGGCCGATTCTCTATCTTTCTCTTCTCAAATCCCTAATTTTGTACTTAATCTCTAATTCCCAATCTCACAACCAGATCCGAATAGAATTCTAATACCAGGTTTCTATCACTTCTCCTCCGCACTTTCTCTGGAGCTCTCCTTCTTTGTATTGCTTGCTTTGTCCGGGTTCGTGATGGAAGGAATAGATAGAAGGGGTTATTGGGTTTTCCGGCGGAAGATGAAACCGTGAACGACATAAATTCCCCCAAGTTAATTGCGTGCTTAAGGTAGGGAATTAATCAGTTTTAATTTTGGCTAACGTTTGTACATGTTTTAACTACCATACGACTTATGGCCTTTTGGGGAAAGGAAGATTCCAAACTCGGGTGTGGCAAATAATTTGATCTGTCACAATTAATTCTTGAAACGGATGCATTTGGTTTCTAGCACAGTTGGATTTCTATCCGATTCACTTTCTTGTACAAATTCACATATTCTATTCGACCCAAACATCTATTACAGATTGAACCTAAACCCAAAGATCGGGATGTTACATTTCCTCCACCCTTATAAAAATTTCGTCCTCGAAATTGGAACTGTTGGGTAAGGGCTGAGAGGCAAACACTTGTACTGAGACAAATCGTATTCGATCATACTATCTTGGTTGGAATGTAACAGTCCCTGCCACTCCACCTCCTGCAAGCGGCGTCGAGCGACCAGCCGGCTTATGGCGCTTGATTCGGGTCGATGTCTGATTTTGGGAAGATTGGAAGTCGAAAAGCGCAAAAACCAAAGAAAATTCCAAAGTCACCGTGACAGTAAAGCGCAGGCATCCGGGAACCAGCATCAGTTCACGGTCAGAGCTGCGAGTTCACGGTACCGTGAACTGGGACCAAAAATCGTGAACAGCGAGGCTTCCAAGGGGGTTCAAGAGATTACTGACGACAAGGCAGTTCACGGTCGCTAAGTCCCTGAACTTTGAGCACAAACCGTGAACCCCAAGAAGTGAAGCGGTGCATTTTGGCCACGACACTGAGTTCACGGGCGCGTTCTGATGTACACGACCGTGAACTGGGCACTTTCGGGCAAATATGAAGATAGCAGCGGGGAGAGAGAAGGGAGAGCTGGTCTTTGGAGAGGAATTGGTTTCTTTTTCTAGGTTTTGAGCCCAAAACACCAAAGGGGAGTTCTAGTGTGTGAGAGAGAGAGAGTGCTTGAATGATCTTGGAGCATAATTGGAGGCTTGGGTTGATCTTGAAGACAAGGATTCAAGTCTAGAAGAAGAAGAAGATCTTGGGCCCAATTTGTAATCTATCTCTTCTCTCTCTAGGAACTCACCTTCTTCTGTTGGGTTTAAGAACCCTAGGTCTAGATTTGGGTTTAATGTTGATGTATGTGACAAACTCCATGATTGATTGATGATTTTACTTAATTAATGGATGTTTTCATGAATGGCATGAGTTGGGTTTTCATATTTATGTATTGAGCTTTCAACCTAGGAGGGAGATAATCCCCTTCGAGCCCCCTTTTGACGTCTTCGAGTCACTCCTATCATATATTGTTCGGGTAGTCCCCGAGGGAGTTGATTCGACCGGTCTCCTAGGATTATACGAAACCCTAAGTTGAATAGAGCACTATCCATCCATCGATTCATCGTTCCGGGTCATTCCCGAGGGAGTCCATCTCCAAACGGTAGTGTATTTGATTCGATCGAGCTAGGAGGATACCCAACATCGATCCGAAGAACAGACCTAGGATGATTCAACCCAAGAGAGCTCCCCACCTTGTAAATAGCTAGGTTAGTGGTTAGTCTAGGTTAGTTAGTTTAATTCTATCAATCACTATCCTAGGTTGGCTAGATAACGAACCCTAAACCTGAAGTAGGGTAAGCCTAGATCCCCGTGGTACGATAAATTCTTATTGCTTGCTTGCCCTATGCTACACCCGGTCTGCGCTTATACTTGGCCGTCGATCGGGATGTTTTAGTTAGAAGGAGTTAGCGCTAGATCAGGTCGTTTTTCATTCTTGCAAGCTGATGGCATCACGCAAAGACTGCGGGCGAAACATCCTAATCTCATCGGCGATCTCCGACTTCGGGCCTCCTAAATACGTGCCCACCAGTGCCTATTGCGTCCAGCCGACACAACGATTAGCCAGCTTCTCGAACTCTTTCTAGTAATTGTGCAGGGACTCAGTCTGACAAATCCGCGATAGGGCTTCTTCGTAACTCTCTCCTTCAGTCGGACCGAACCTCGCCCACAACTCCTACGAGAACAGCCCCTAGGTAATAAGCTCTCTGGTGTCTTTATAGGTTCGCTTCAGCCATTGCCACCATTGGTTCGCCTCTCCCTCTAGATGAAACACAGATAACGACACCTTCTGATCCTCCGAAACCTCCTGGTACTCGAAGAATTGCTTGACGTGAGGAAACAACGATCCAGGATCATCCCCCGCAAACAATTGCGCCCACCTTCATCGCCAGACGGCTTGCCGCCGAAACTCCCACGCACCACCGATTCATGGCGACGAGCGCCACTGTTGCCGTCAGTCCTTGGTCTGACCGAGCTCCTCTATCCGATCTTCATCCCAGTCGTACTCTTCTCCCCTTTCTTCACCTCCGCGCCACTCTTCTCCCCGTCCCTTTCCTCCGAACTTTCCTCCTCACCAGACGACGAGGCCGCCACTGGGACTTTTCCCTCCCATTGCGAAATCAACGCCTTGTCCCTAGCCACCAGGGTCTTCATCATCTCCTTCATCTGCTCCCGTACTTCCTCTAGGTCGGGCGCATTAGCCTGTCCTAGCACTTGCAACTCTTCCACGCAGCTTCCAGTGCTTAGCATCGTTCCGCCGCCGTGCCCGTACCCATCTTGCGCAGATCCCGAACGGATTCGGAACCAGACTCTGATACCAATTGATGAACTGTTATCCACAATTCAAGGGTTTTGCTTGTAACTTACAAGTGAGAGAACGACGTTGGTGTCAATATACCTTAACTTTACTATTCGATATAGGACTAATGCCAAAGTTACATATTCATAGACTTAGAAAAACCTAATACGTAATCTAAAGCTACCCGAATTCCTACTCCTATTCGGCTACCCCATCCCAAACGCATAAGGAAAATTACAACGAAAAGAAAAAAACATTCATACCCAAAATCCAAAAACACCCAAAAGCCCAAACCGAAAATACTCTCATCAGTATTCAGACGAAAATTAGGTTGGGCTAAGATATGAGGGGAAAGAGAAGGGTTTGAGAAGAGAGAGGGTGAAATGATTTTTTTTTATGTTTTGCTGATTGAGTGTAAATTTTACTTATTATTCCGGGTGGGTTTGGCTCGGTTTGCAAGTTGAGTGGTTTTTCCTTCTATACAGGTCACGTTTGTTTTGGATACAGTTAAATTCGAGTGACTTATCGTAATCTCGCGAGTATTCTAATATGGACATTCTAATTAAAATTGGTAAAATAATTGTTGTGACTAGATAGGATAATGAACCGATGTAGTGAGTTGTACACGTTAGTGGTTTAACTGCTACTAATTCGTTTAAAATTCGTCAATATACCAATGTCTTATATTTTTATGGGTAAATACAATTTAATATCCAAATCTTTCATTTTAAGCAATATAATAGCCAAACCTTTTCGAAAAGAATCTAATATCCAAATCGTCAACTTTCCGTTCGTTTGACCGTTAGTTGACACTTCAAAAAAGTTTTGTTTAGGGGAAATTGTCACAATACAACTTTGTTTCTTGTTTTGGCATTGCAGATGACTGAATATTTATATATTCTATACCATCATGGTGGAGTCATGGACTTCTCGGGTTTGGAACTACGATATGTTGGTGGTTTTTCAGATAAGATATCGATGGATATTGATGAAGTGTCGTACTTCAAACTTTTTTGAAGTGTCAACTAACGGTCAAACAAACAGAAAGTTGACGATTTGGATATTAGATTGTTTTCGAAAAGGTTTGGCTATTATATTGTTTAAAATAAAAGGTTTGGATATTAAATTGTGTTTACCCTATTTTTATTAATACATGAAAAGGATAAATCATAGTGTATTTCTTACTGCTCTTCTTTCGGGGATAAATCGGCGAACATAAAAAGAAAGGAGACAAAATTTGAATTGAATCTCGTAATTTCGTAGTGCTACTTTATTTTCTTCCTTTGTCAAAATCCACCACCTATAGGTTTTTCTCCTTCTCGAAACTCTACGTTCCTTCTAACTAGCTCCCAAATTCAGTCGACATGTGTACAAACCATAATCGGTTGTATCCTCGACGACATTAGTGACACTTTTCGGTATGGGGCTATGGCGACTCCTCCTTCCATTCATCAACGCTGTTTACAAATCCCTCGTCGGGATTAGCCTCGCGGGTCGAACTCGATGGGGGCTCAACCATCCAGATTAACGTAACTCCTGCAGGCAGAAGCTTCACTGTCTAGTATGTTCTTGGATTTATTATTGTCTAGCTTAGACCCGACCCATTGGCAGAATACCCAAATATAGGTTGCTATTAAAATTAGGAGTGTGCAACAGTTCAGTCTGTTATGGATCAGAGCCAATATAGCATATGAAAACGGTGGTTCAATAGTAAAAGAACTTTAATGATTAAGAGTCCAATCATCATTGCATTTTATTATGTTTGTCCAATCCTAATATCTCATTTTTCTTTAATATTCATAAAACTTGAGACTGGGACCGGACCACATTAGATTCGATATGATAAAGTACACAAATCCAATTCAACATAGATTCATGACAAGTTTTTAGAGAACTATAAACTATTTATAGCCAAAAACTTTCGAACTTTTCAAATTATTAGCTGATGCTCTAAAACACAACACCTAACAATGGCCAAGTGTAACCAATGAAAGGGACTGCAGTATAGTGGCACAAGTAATAAATATCGAATCCACGGGTCTCTAGAATTACTATTACTCAGCTTCAGTTCATTATCTAGCAAACTAGATTAAGGATTGATTAACTAAACTACTCTACTAACTAAACTAAGAAAAACTACTAATTACAGTTTGGGAACTCACTTAGGTATGATTCCCCCTAGCTCCTCAATTAGGTCCAAGTTGTAATTCCTTTTGGTTGATTTACTGTTGATTAAACTGCGGAAGATCCAACAGTAGCTTGGAATCTCTTAAGCTGACCAAGCCCTCTCAGTCTAACTATCCGGCAGACGAATAGTCTTCACCGGGATAGAAAGCTGAAGCAATAAGCACAGAACTCCACTACTGGAATTGGATTCCAGTACAAAGCAGTAAACTGGCCAACTCTCGTATAGCCAATCTCCTACTACCGAATGATGAGACTCTAGCAACCTAATCAGATTCTATCTATCTCAGATTGCAGCAGGAATCAGGAAAAGTTGATCAGACTTCAATTGACTCAATAAACATGCATCATTCGATTATAATCAAACACTATAGCATCCAAAACTTCATACAAGAAAGATCCTAACTCATGGAACTAAGGTTCCTCAAAACCTAAGTGAAGGGAAGTTACTCCATAGAGAAGAGAGAGACTGCAGAAATCTGATCTAGATCTTCAATCTCCATCTCCAAGCTTGATTCCCGAGCTCCAATGGCTAAGAAATCCTCCAAAATAGCTCCAAGAATGTTCCCAAGTCGCTCTCTCTCTCTCTAGGGTTCGTCCCTTGGGTGTTTGGGATCCAAAACCCAGCTCTCCCCCTTTCCTTTTGCTGAAAATCGGGTTTTAAATAGCAATTCCCGACTCACACGGCCAGGCCACACGGCCGTGTGGCTTTCCCAGCTGCCCGTGTGAAGGCTCGGTGATTTCCACACGGCCACATGGCCAGGTCACACGGCCGTGTGGGTTGTGCCCGTGTGGCTTGCTCAGCCTCTGTTTAATGCTTCGTTTCTCCCTCGTCCGGACTCCGAATCAGTCGCCGTTTGATCCCAGAAACTCGTAGTCTCGTCCTCTTTCTTTTCATGACAAGCTTGCATGATTATTTGTCCATAAAGTGAGTTAGAAATCCATTCTTCTTCAGGTCATACCCGAGTTTCTTCTCCCGAATCGTCAATTGATCTCTGATTGACTTGAAACTTGCGCCTATGCTTCACTTTATGTGCTAGGACCTGAAATGTGACAAAGGAACACAACCTAGCGTAAAATAGGCCAAAGACACGATAATTCAAGCTCAAACAATCAAGAAACAAAGGGAAAAACATGTGCAAATACCGAGTCATCAAATCCCCCCACACTTAACTGTTTGCTTGTCCCCAAGCAAACCTAACTCAAACCAATGCAGCTCTCCAGAGCTCTATAGCAGCATACAACCCCAATCATCGGTAGAGGATTTCCTAGATCATATAGCTGCTTACGAGGTCAACTGGTCTTCTAAGACGTTCCCTATCTCTCTCAATGCGAGTACTAGACTCAAGCCAGGATCATGAGAAAAAGTAGAAGTAAGACAGTCAGTTCATGGATAAAGGGACTCACACCATTCACAACCAAGGACTCGTTGTACCGGGGTGCTCTTTCACTTCATTTCACCGTTGGAACCCCTTTTTCTCAATTTCATTTACATTTTTTCTTTCATTTGGTGGGGTTCCAACTGCAGTCTTTTGCATGGTCGACCCTTATTAGTCGAGCAAGAGCAATTTCTGTACATCTGGAGCTCGCCAGAGTACTTCTTTTAACTCCTTTTCCTCAACTCGTGTGGAGGGTCAATGAAATTAAGGGGGGTCGGAAGCTCTATCCGTGCCCTTAAAAACACATCCTCAAGTAGGCAAACCGTTCAACGGGTGGAAGTTTTACTTGTACTAGAGACAACTTAGCTTCACCTTGTAGGAGTACCCCACTAAGGATCACTAAAATCTCTTCCAAAACCCGATTTTGTGCAATGAACGGTGCCTCACACGTTGGGCTTACCCCATGTTTAAGATTTAATGATTTTGACATGGAGGACCAACTGCTTCCCATTTTCCATATGAGCACCCTGTTCGATACACGAGTCCATAACATAATCTAAACAGAGTCACCATTACCACATGAATTCAACGGTCTTAGCTCCACTAATTCACAAAATCAACTGGCACAACAGAGAGCTAGATAGGAAAAATCTTATACTTCAACATCCTCCATAGTGCTACACTACCTCCCTAGGTTGCACATTACTATAGAGACTGTCAATTCAAAGCATACTGAGCAGGCAATTTGCAAGGAAACACGTACTTGGAGCCCTCAAATTTAAAAATTTGGACAGTGGACTAGGCTCCAAGCACACAAACAGCCAAACATTCACCCGCATACATAATCGAACACCCCCCCCCCTCACACTTAAGCACGACATTGTCCTCAATGGAGGAAAGATAAGGAGGGTAGAACGAAGTTACCAGATCAAGGGTGAATGATGATGTACGGGTCAGGCAATGCATTCCAGGAAGAGAGAGTAATCAGAACACAAACACCACACAAAATCTCACAAAGATTGAGTTATTGACTCTAAAATCAAATAACAAAACTGACTCAACCGAGGAGAAATAGAGAAAGAAATGCAAACCGACTGGTTGGGTTGCCTCCCAACAAGCGCTTCTTTCACATCGTGAGCCGGACGATGGCTCCTAAGTTTCGGTCCATGCTAGAACCTCCTTGAAGTTGAGGTTCTCGTCGATGAGGTGGAGTCTCAAGTCACGAGCATGTGGTGTGGCAGGTGATGAAGGCTCATGTACTTGATGCAGATGAAGTCTCCACCCTCGAGACCTCTTCTTCTCTTCTCTTGTCTCATTGCCCCAAACCAGATATGACAGCATCGACCGACCACCATCGCGTCCACCAAGAGGGACCGATGTCGATGTGGCCTTGGTCTG